ATTTTAGGACGCAAACCATCTCATTTGACTATCTTCTTGTTTTGGAACCATCCGCCTTGCTTGATTACTTTAATGAGGGAGAAAATTGGCCTGGCAATCACGAGATAGAGGTTGTTATTTCGGGTGTTGTTAGTTGTTGTTATTGTTGTTGTTGTTATCATTATTCTTGTTATTACTATTATTGTTATCGTTATTTTCATTACTACTGCTACTATTATTGTTGTTTTTGTTATTAGTATTATCATTGTTATTTTCTTATTACTATTATTATTATAATTATTATGATCATCATTGTTATTATCATTATTATTATCATTACTGTTATTATTATCATTATTATTGTTATTGTTGTTATTATTATTATTATTATTATTATTATTATTATTATTATTATTATTATTATTATTATTATTATTATTATTATTATTATTATTATCATTATTATTATTATTATTATATTATTATCATTATTATCACTATTATTATTAACATTACCATTACCATTCTTATCTTTGTTATCATTATCATAATCATTATTATCATTATCATCACTGTTGTTCTTGTAGTTGCTGTTGCTATTGTCATTACTGTTACTTAAATTTCAATATTTTTTCTATCGAAAGAACGAAATATTCGAACGAAATGATATTTTTATTATTGTTTTTATTTTCTTCTTCTTCTTCTTCTTCTTCCTCTCTTCGTTCTCCCCCCCCAAAAAAAAAAAAAAAAAAAATCCTTCTCTTTATCATTGCTCATTTTCCTTCTTCTCTTCTCCATTCCTTCTCCCAACTTCGTTTTCAAGATCCCGTTGCAATCAGAAGCAATGTTGCAATACTACTTTTCCTTCCCGGGATTCATTATATAACAAGAGTACGATAAATCCAAACATTTTCATTATATATATATTTTTTTCCCCTCTTCTTCAATTATCGTCTAGATCCATTTGCATATTTCCGCTTGTTTATTTATTTGTTTGTTTGTCTTGCAAAAGACCTTGACGATCTACTGAAACTCAACACATATTCCAAACCTTATCTATCAATTATTATTATATTTATCTATTAATAAACTCCACTCTTCTATCCATCCATCTATCCATCTATCAACGTATCTATCGACCTATCTCCTTCAAAGAAAGAAGGAAGAAGGATAGCACAACAACGCAAAAGACACGAAACCGAAGCGAAAGAGACAGAAAAGGAATAAAAATGAATAAATTAGATGCCTGCTCGAGACGTCAGCTCTTATCACTTGTCTGGATAAAGAGAACAGTTATTGCCGGACGAGTTTCAACGAGGAATTCTTGCTCTATTTATGTAATAATAATGGAAATATTGATGATAATGATGTTAAAATGATGATGATAATGATGATAATGGTAATAATGTGATAATAATGATGATAATGTGATAATTGTAATTGATGATAATGGTAATAATGATAATTAATGATGATAATGATGTAATGTAATGATGATAATGATTAATGGTAATAATGATAATATGATGATAATGATGATAATGTAATGATGATAATATGATAATGATAATGTGATAATGGTAATAATGATGATAATGATATTGATAATAAGATGATAATTGTAATAATAATAATGATGATAATGATAATAAATAATGAAATGATAATGATGATAATAACTAATAGTTATTATGATAATGATGATGATAACGAGTTTCACGAGGAATTTTTTGCTCTATTTATGTAATAATGATAATGATAATAATAATTGTAATAATTATATTGATGATAACAATGATTATTATGATAATGATAATGATAGTAATGTTGATAATAACAGTTATGATAGTATTGATAATGATAAAAATAATGATTATCATTATAAGATAATTGTAGTATTAATCATGATAATAATTATGATAATATCAATAATGATGATAATGAAAATGATAATATAAGTAATACCAGTGATGATAATGATTATGATAATAAATAAATAATTTAGCATTTCTTTCTTCCTTTATTTTCCTTCCATTTCTTTTTTTCTATCATTTTTCTCCTTTCTATTTCCCCATTTTCCTCTCCTATATTTCCTTTATTTTCCTCTTTATCATTTCTCTTATTTTACTATTTTCCCTTACTTTCCCTCTTATGTGTCTCTTACTTTCTTATTATCTATTTCCCTTGTTTTCCTCTTTTCTATATCCGTATTTTTCAATTTTCTTTCTCCTTTTTTCGTATTTCTTTTCCCTTATTTTCCATTTTTCTCTTTTTTTTCTTTCCTCTTATTTAAACTCATATATCCCTCATCTACCCGTTTTCTATTTCCCTCATCATCCCATTTTCTCTTTCCCTCATCTTCCCATTTTCTATTTCCCATGTTTTTCCATTTTCTAATTCTCATCTTGCAGGGGAAACTAACTTAAAAGGGAACTGAGATCCGGCTAGTATGTAAATCATGTTTGTAATCTTAATGCAGATCTGGGCTATGTGGATCCTCGCAAGAAACGCACTGCCGGTCTTTAGTTTTTGGCTGAGTTTTTGAAAATCATTTTGCTTCTCTCTTCTAAACTTTTTTTCTTTCTTAAATTCAAGATCATGTGTTTATGTTTTTTTTTTTTTTTTTTTTTTTTTTTTTTTTTTTTTACCTATTTCCTACACGCAGTTTTTGAAAATCATTTTGCTCCTATCTTCTTAGCCTTTTTTTTTCTTTCTTAAATTCAAGATCTTGTATTTATATAAATATTTTTTTTTACCTATATCCTGCATACATTTTTTTCGTTTTGCATTTTCGTGTTGGTAGTGTCATTTGATGATTTTAGCAATATCATCATCAGTATCAATATTATGATTATTATTATTATTTCCATTATCATTATTTTCCTCTTTATTTTTCACACTACGTTGAGTCGTATTTTCGAGCTAAGTTTAAATAATCTTTACTGTCATTATGCTTTTTTTCACCACATTCTTCTTTTATCAATCTGTCATTCCTTTCTATCATTTTTCTTATCATCCACTACCTTTTGTTAAATACATTTAGTCTTCTGGTTCTTTCTCTTATGCATTCTTCGTTTTTATTCTTCTTATTGTTCTATATTCGGGCATCCGCGTTCACTAGATGTATTTATAGAAAACGGAGCGAGGGGTCGATTAGAGGGGGGTCTATGGTAAAGACACTCTTTCTCACTTTATGGTGCTTACGGTGCTAAGTCGGTGCATGTAGGGTTGGCTGCTTGGGAAGGGGGAGAGGGGGAGGGGTAGGGTGCAAGGGGTGTGGTGCTTGTGTGTTTTGTTTTGTTGATTTTTTGTTTAATTGACTGCGATGCATTTTTTTTTTTTTTTGTGTTCCTGTTTCTGTGGTGGATTGTGGAGCATTTTTTTAGGTCTTCCTCTTTCGTCCTTTCAGTTCTTCTCTCTCTCTTTTTCGTTCTCTCTCTCTCTCTCTCTCTCTCTCTCTTCTCTCTCTCTCTCTCTCTCTCTCTCTCTCTCTCTCTCTCTCTTCTCTCTCTCTCTCTTGTCTATCTATCTGTTGTGTATCTATTATCTATGCTCATCTTATTATATATATATTATATATATATATATATATATATATATATATATATATATATATATATATATATGTATATATATATATAATATATATATATATATATATATATATATATATAATATATATATATATCATATTATATTATATATATATATATATATATATATATATATATATGTGTGTGTGTGTGTGTGTGTGTGTGTGTGTGTGTGTGTGTGTGTGTGTGTGTGTGTGTGCCTGCTGTATATGTTGTTATTATTGTTATCATTATTACCTTAATATATTATAGCATTATCAACCTAATTTTACTGTCACTATCATTATCATGGCACATCATTATTGATATTAGTATCGGTATTACTATTAGCATAAAGCATTACTGTTAGCTTTAACATCATTATTACTATGATTGTTATCATTAATATTCATTATATTATCTTTATCATTATCAGCAACAGTCATCATCATCTATCCATATTTCTTTCAACCTTCCGACAGATACACACATACACACACAAACACACACACAGTGAAACACACACGCGCACAGACACACACACGCACACGCACACACACACATACAAAAACACACACACGCACGCACAAACACCACACACACAGACACACGCACACCACACACACACACACACCCTCACACATATGTATGTATGAGTGCATCCACATGCAGCCACGCATCCTAGGACGTCGCTAGAAATAAAATACTCAATAAATTCCCAAACTACTGGACGCCTCCCCCCCCCCCCCGGCCACTCGAAGAAGCCGTAACGAAGCTCGACGTTGATGGTCCCGTTTCTGAAAAATGGTGACGTTGTTAATGCTGCCTCGCTGGCGTCTTAATTGAGGGCAGCGCATTCCTCTCTCTCTTTTTTTCTCTCTTTCTCTTTCTTTCTTTCTTTTTCTTTGTCTCTTCTCTCTTTCTTCTCTTTCTTTCTTTCTTCCCTCTCTCTCTTTCTTTCTCTTTCTTTCTCTCTCTTTCTTTCTTTCTTCTCTCTCTCTCTCTCTCTTCTCTCTTCCTTTCTTTCTATCTCTTTCTCTCTCACTCTGTTTGTCTGTCTGTATGTCTGCCTACCCCCTCTCCCTATATATATTTTCTCTCTCTCTCTCTCTCTCTCTCACTCGTCTCTATTTCTATATCGTCTGCCTTGTCTTTTTGTCTTTCTTTTTTTTTTTTTCTTCTTTCTTTCTCTGTCTTTCTCTCCATTTCCTTTTTGTTCCCTTTTTTTCTTCTTTCCTTACCACCCTCTCTCCTCGTCTCTCTCTTCTAGTTTCTCCCTCATACCCTCTCCTTCCCTCCCTCTTCCTCTTTTTCCCCCTCCCCCTCGAATTCTCCCCCCCCTCTCCCCCCTCCCCCCAACACAAAACACCTCCCCCAACTCCCCCTCCCTCCACACAAAACCCCCCCCCCCCTTACTAACAACCTCTCTCTCTCTCTCTCTCCCAACAG